CAGAGAGAAACTACAACAATAACACACACACACTTCATGCATTGGACCCACACATGAGCCGCACGAGTGCAGGAATATCGAGATGGTCCTCACTGCAGAACAAGAAGTCCACGGGGAGGAGTTGGATCCAGGTCCAACTCCCACCTTACATATACCTAAACCTACCCAGCTCCACCCACTGATCCATAACCCCACCCCTAACCCTACCCAGCTCCGCCCCCTGATCCCTAACCCCACCCCTAAACCTACCCAGCTCCGCCCCCTGATCCCTAACCCCACCCCTAAACCTTCCCAGCTCCACCCCCTGACCCTTAACCCCACCCCTAAACCTACCCAGCCCCACCCCCTGATCCCTAAACCCACCCCTAAACCTACCCAGCTCCACCCCCTGACCCTTAACCCCACCCCTAAACCTACCCAGCCCCACCCCCTGATCCCTAAACCTACCTCTAAACCTTCCCAGCTCCACCCCTCAGATCTGACTCCACCCCCTGGATCTTATGTACTGCAATGAGGTGCTACTGAGAATATCCCCGTCACTAAAGCAGCCGAACACACTCTCCACACTCACACACTCAGCAGTCATGCTTTCAGCTCATCAGGAACAACTCAGCCACTCACCAACAAATATGATTTTCCTTTATAATAACTTAAAGTGTTCAAAAAATATTATTAATTTTTTTTTAATTAAATAGATTTTTTTTCTTATTTTATTACAGAGACAATAATTATTTTACATATGTTTTATTTTATAACAAATATGTGTTATTAATTTCATTGTTAAGGCAATGAGACCGGAAATAACCCAGCACATGAGTAAGACTTAATCAAGCAGGAGGGTTAATTTCACCCACTGGTTGGGTCAAATAAATGACAATGGGAAAACCCAGCACTTGGGTCAAATCAACCTGTTTCTGTCCAATAGTGACCCAGCAGTGGGGTGAAGGTTGGGTCAGCAGTTTGTACAGTTTCTATAGTGTAAAGAATACGGTTCAGAGGATCATATCACTCATTAATCATTAAGAATCAAACATGAGCAGTTTAGTGAGTCACTCGATGACAGTAAACGAATCATTCAGTGCGGTTTATGAACTGAATCAGCTGGTTCAGTGAACAAAACTGATTCAATGAACAATATTTGTTTATAAAATCTAAAACAGTAGTAAAGAGCAAGATATACATCACTATTCAAATGTATACAGTAGGCTAAAGTGTAATTTATTCCTGAATGTTCAGCATCATTACTCCAGTCTTCAGTGTCACATGATCCTTTCAGAAATCACTCTAATATGAGGATCTGATGCTCACGCTTGATGATTATCAATGATAATAATGTTTCCATGGACAACCGTCATACAGTCGCGGTCCTGTCCATGACAGACATTAGTAGTTTTACCACATGAGTAGATGTTCTCCAGGGGTCCAGGGTCACGCCACGCCTTTCATCCTCAGAAACTCAGGAACATTAATTACAGGAATATGCCTGTGGTCAAGAGTAACTCACTAACTGCTCCGGTTAATGTGTGACCACACAATACCATCAGACCAACACGAGGCTCCTGAAACTCAACAAATAAACACACTTTACAGACATGCACAATTCTTCCAGGAAAATCAGCCGAAACTACTGAAGACTCATGATGCACTCTGAGCCTGAACCAATCAGAGCGCAGCAGGGATGACGTCACAGGCCGGAAGATTCCTTCGGGATTTAATTCATTTGATGAGTAAAATAACGTCTTTGGTAAACATGATATTTACTCATATAACGTGATGATACTTTAATGTTTTATTCTACAACGTAAACTGCACAAAGTCACACCACAACCTGTTACTTATTAACATGTTTTCAACAAAGAAACAGAACTGCTTCAAAACTGCGCGTTTTCTGATTGTATTCTTTAAAAATATAAAAAGAGCTAGTTGCACATATCTTCACCCATTTTGCTCCTCCAGTAAATGTTTCTTGATTTAAGAATGTTTCGATGTTTGTGCTGGAAAAGTGGTTAAAATTTCAAGCTATTTTAAGGGTTCTGGTTCAGATCAGTTTCACTGCAGGTCGAGCACGAGCGCGAGCATCACACTCGTTGTGTGTGTGTGTGTGTGTGTGTGTTACCTACATTAGCAGCTCACAGACAGAGCTGAAACAGTCGTGAGTGTTTGAGTTGTATTGAGCGCCTCCTGCTGGACACAGACGGACCTGCAGCTTGCATCAGCAACACATATTTCATATTTAGGTTACTATTATATTTATTTTGACAAGTTATGATTTGATGTATCTGTGAATATGGCTAGTCGTCAAATATATCTGCACCTTATTCTGAAGAAATTCAAGAATTACAGAGATGGGGAATCATGCAACATTCTTACTAGTGGAAATTACTTAATACATATTTATAGATTATTAGATCACATTTACATTTTCACCGGAATATCAATAATAAAATTCTTCAAGATTCCTTCATCTGTCACGTACATGTGATGTAGTTATGAGGTGAATAACAGAAAATATCAACAGAATATAGTAAAAAGAAGAAAAATAATTCATAATTTGAATTAGAATGATACCTAGTGCAAAATCAATTAAAGATTTTCCAGCTTTTACTAGTCAAATCTCATTTGTAGACATGTTTGTTTGAGATATCTGACTAGTCATAATATTATCTGTAATATTTTTCAGTAAAAGTAGTATAAAGTAAATGACTAGTCAGATATGTCATGTAAACGTGGATGATTAGGGGTGACTGCAGAATACTGTAACGCTGAGCTTGACCAGGTGTCAGTGGCACTGAATGCTTAAGGTCACCAAAGGTCACGTGAAGTCATCAGTCTAACACACATCAAACCCTCACATTGTGTACACACTTACAAGACCAGGGCGGAGCAGACCCCTCGGGCGAGCAGGGCGGAGCAGACCCCTCGGGCGAGCAGGGCGGAGCAGACCCCTCGGGCGAGCAGGGCGGAGCAGACCCCTCGGGCGAGCAGGGCGGAGCAGACCCCTCGGGCGAGCAGGGCGGAGCAGACCCCTCGGGCGGCCAGGGCGGAGCAGACCCCTCGGGCGAGCAGGGCGGAGCAGACCCCTCGGGCGAGCAGGGCGGAGCAGACCCCTCGGGCGGCCAGGGCGGAGCAGACCCCTCGGGCGAGCAGGGCGGAGCAGACCCCTCGGGCGGCCAGGGCGGAGCAGACCCCTCGAGCGAGCAGGGCGGAGCAGACCCATCGAGCGGCCAGGGCGGAGCAGACCCCTCGGGCGGCCAGGGCGGAGCAGACCCCTCGGGCGAGCAGGGCGGAGCAGACCCCTCGGGCGGCCAGGGCGGAGCAGACCCCTCGGGCGGCCAGGGCGGAGCAGACCCCTCGGGCGGCCAGGGCGGAGCAGACCCCTCGGGCGAGCAGGGCGGAGCAGACCCCTCGGGCGAGCAGGGCGGAGCAGACCCCTCGGGCGAGCAGGGCGGAGCAGACCCCTCGGGCGGCCAGGGCGGAGCAGACCCCTCGGGCGGCCAGGGCGGAGCAGACCCCTCGGGCGGCCAGGGCGGAGCAGACCCCTCGGGCGGCCAGGGCGGAGCAGACCCCTCGGGCGGCCAGGGCGGAGCAGACCCCTCGGGCGGCCAGGGCGGAGCAGACCCCTCGGGCGGCCAGGCCGGAGCAGACCCCTCGGCGACGGCGGCGAAGAGGCCTCAGGCGGCCACGGAACAATCATCGGTTGCTCTGCAACAGACCCTGGCTTAGGACTAGGAACTGATACCTGCTCAGAAACAAACACAGACACAGGAACAAACACTGGCTTTGGCCCCGGTATAGACACTGGCTCAGGAATAGACTCTGGCTTGGAGGCGGCCATCTTGTCCGAAGACACTGGCACGGAGTCGGCCATCTTGTCTGTAGACACTGGCTCGAAGGCGGCCATCTTGTCTGTAGACACTGGCTCGTCAGTGTTGACTCGTTGACATCAGTCCTGGACACCCATAGACCGATGCCATGGCTAGCTTGACGGTTGAAGTGACAAGAAGATTCTCAGGCAGTGCGGTTGTGGTAACATTCCCCTCCACCTTCCCTACAGTGAAGTGGGATCCACAAAACTCCAGGACAAAGTCAATATACTGTGGTATGGTCCAGCTGGGGTCGTCCTCTGATAAATTTGAGCCAATGTCCTGGTCTAGTCCACTCCAGAAACAGTCCTTTAGCATAACCTCATCACCAGGAACGAGGTGACTATAACAGAGAAACTCCACATAATTCTCAATGGTGCGATTGAATTGATAAATAGAACAGAGTTTACTCAACGGGCTCTGGATGGTACCTTTTCGATCCATGTTGGTCAGTTGTGCTGCTGAATTCATTTTGCCAAAGTATTCTGTTATGAATCACGTCAGTTGGGGGGGATCCAAATGCAGCGTGTTTATTAGAAAGCAGATTCGAACAGGCAAAGATTAACATCACAGGCAAACTTTATGTGTGTGTAAATGAAGTGCAGGTGTGTGTGCAATCAGTACAGTGCAGGTGTCTGGTGTAATCAGTCCAGGGAGGTCTATGATGGGAAATGTAGTTTTGTGCAGTGATCAGTCTGATGTGGAGTGCCCTCTGGTGACTCTCTAGGGCACTTCAGCTGGTGATCGTTACAGTGAGCATGATTTGTGAGTGTGATGGTGTGTGTCAGATAAAGCGAGTGTGTGTTTGGACTCATAACAGTAATGTCTAACAGTACTGTAGGAAACAGGAGGCGTTCCTGAGAACCGGCTCGACTGGTTCAACTGTGATTTCCTCCCTCAGACTCTCATTAACTGACCTCAACATCACAAGCCACACACACACACACACACACACACACACAAGGACGACAGGAGCGAGAGGTTCCCCGGCTCAGATCAGGTGAGACACAGGCAGAGACTCGCTACGTCTCACAGATTAAAGATTATGCCGTTATGAATCTCCTCGTTTATATACAGTATTTATGAATGTGTGTTTGTGAAGTTGAGCGGCTCTGTTAATTTACAACTCTGCAGAACTGTTGATTAACTCGGAGAACAGAGAGAGTTTGACCGCGGTCTGAAGTCTCCGTTTCAGCTGATGATGCGTGATAGACTGTGATGAAGAGGACCTGAAGGAGAACTGTGACTGACATTAATGCAGCCTGGAATCATAACTCAGTGTTTGGGTTCGTTTGAGCTGGTTCTCCACTTCTGTCCTGAAGGAGTTCAGCATCACTCGGGTTAGGGTCAGGTTAGGGTTAGGGTTAGGGTCAGGTTAGGTTAGGGTTAGGTAACACTCTGATTCCAGTACACATGGATCTGCCGAAACGACTAATAATTCTGTATTACGCTGCCAGACGCTGCAAGTCATCCACTTTGTAAAGATACGCGTCTGCACACATACACACTGCATATCCAAACACACATATCTATAGACTAAACGTGATACGCCGCAGTCAGCGTTTCACAGACTCGCCTGTTTGAAGTTTCCATGGAGATGATCACGTTTTAATTTTGTTTTTTTAAACTTGGAACTTGGAACCCGTTTCGGAGTGTGTGTTCTCGAGCTCAAACACTGATGTGTGTGAATGAACGGCCGGAACACACTAACAGTGTCTGTGGTCTGTTAGAGCGGTGTGGTGTTAGCCTAAACACTCCCTGTGACTGTAATCTCCTGTTACTGTAAAGCTGCTGTGAAACTCTATAGTGTTAAAGCGCTGTATAGATGAAGGAGACTCGACTATTATTGATGTGACTGAATCAGATGAATTTATCTGTATAATCACTGTGCTTTAGAGCAGCTTTACATCAATGTGTCTCATATTTGAAGTTGCATCATCGGCTACGTTTACATGCAACCAAATCATCAGCTAGTAATGGGACTGACGGCTCAAGCCCGTGTTTTCTCTTCCTCAGGACAGAAGCTCATGATGACGGAGAGCGTGCGGCGCCTGGTGTCCAAAGATGGCCACAGTAACGTGAAGATCGATAACGTGGAGGGAATGATCAAGCTGTTCCTGCACGACATCTGGACCACGGTGGTGGACATCAAGTGGCGTTACAAGATCACTCTGTTCGCCTCCACCTTCATCATGACGTGGTTCGTGTTCGGCGTGGTGTTCTACCTCATCGGCCTGAGCCACGGCGACTTCGACTCGGACCCGTCATCCAATCACACGCCGTGCGTGATGAACGTGGACTCGCTAACCGGCGCGTACCTGTTCTCCCTGGAGACCCAGAGCACCATCGGCTACGGCTTCCGCCACGTGTCCGAGGAATGTCCTCTCGCGATCCTGACGCTAGTGCTACAGCTGGTGCTAACAGGGCTAGCCGAGATCTTCGTCACCGGAGCGTTTCTTGCTAAGCTAGCGCGACCGAAGAAGCGCGCGGGCAGCATCCGTTTCAGTCGCGTGGCGGTGGTGTGTGTGCGCGACGGGAGGCTACGACTCATGGTACGCGTTGCTAACCTAAGGAACAGCCTGTTGATACAGTGCCAGCTCTCGGGGAAACTTCTATCGAATCGCGTCACGCAAGAGGGAGAGAAGATCCTCCTTCATCAGGAGAGCGTCGACTTCCAGCTGGACTCGTGCGGAGAGTGTCCGTTCCTCCTGCTACCGCTAACCTTCTCGCACGTGCTGGACGAGAGAAGCCCGCTAGCGAACCTCACGGCGGACGAGCTCCCGAGACGAGAGTTCGAGCTGCTCGTGACCCTGAACGGGACCGTCGAGTCCACGGCCTCCTCGTGCCAGAGCCGAACCTCATACACGCCTCAGGAGATCCTGTGGGCTCACGAGTTTGCGCCGGTGCTGTCCCACACGCGCGCGGGCAAACTCACCGCGGATTTCAGCGTCTTCGACAGGGTGAGGCTGTGCAGCGACCCGCCGACGAGCCCCTGCGCCGCGGAGAAGCTCCAGCTGGAGGAGGAGTACAGACGGGAACGAGGAGGAACATCTGAGTGACGCAACACCACCCAAACACTCGCTTCACTTGTTGATAAAAGTCAATCGGGAATGATTTATCAGCAACTTTATTTAAAGAGTGATTTATTCCTGTGATCAAAGCTGCATTTATTTAATTAAAAATACAGTAAGAATTGCACATGAATGTGTGAGTGAATGTTTCTTGAGCATCAGATCCTCATATTAGAGTGATTTCTGAAGGATCATGTGACAGTAATGATGCTGATGCAGATGATTGTCTTATTTAATCAGAATATAATGTCTTACTTCATTTATCCTCCACCTTCACACAGAGAAACTTTCACCATCAAATGTAACCACAATTGTCTGTGTTCCTGTGTTTAATTAATCCATTTCGGAACTTCTGCAATTGCTTTAGCAAAAATATTTGATTCATGTTTCTCCTTGTATAAATGTGTGACTTATATTTGTTTTAAACTCAACAAACTCTACATTGTCTTCAAATGATTATAGAGTTCATGTCTGTTGTGGCAACAGAGAGGCTCGGACAGCCTGTGTGAGTGTGTATGTGTGTTAGAGAGAGAGTGTGTGTTTGTCTGTGTGTGTGTGTGTTAGAGAGTGTGTGTGTGTGTGTGTGTGTGTGTGTGTGTGTGTGTGTGGTGGTGGTGGGGGGGGGGGGGGGGTGAGAGAGAGAGTGTATGTGTGTGTGAGAGTATGTGTGTGTGTGTGTGTGTGAGAGTAAGTGTGTGTGTGGGGGGGGGGGGGTGAGAGAGAGAGAGAGTGTGTGTGTGTGTGTGTCTTTTGAGGCAAGAGTCGCTAGTCGTCTCTGTTTATGAAAGGAGCAAGAGACAATGTGGAGTTTTTTTACTCAAACGAGAAGGACGACGTTGTTGAAAATAGTTTATTAAAATGATTCAGTAGAAAACCATATAATTTATCTAAGTATATGTTTTCTTCCCTTTGTCAACAATCTCAGAGCATCAGGGCTTCTCTGAGCGAACTGATCTGGGTTCAGTCAGTCAGAGCCCGTGTGCTGCCAGTCCAGCGTCATACGAACACGCGCGCACGCGTGTGTGTGTGTGTGTTCACTGTAAACAACGGATAATACAGAGAATCGTCAAACTGCTGGAGTGTTTCACTTCTTTGGTCTGTTTCTCTACGTCTGTGATAAATGTCTGTTTGGCTGGCTGAGATCAACTCGTAGTGTTTAAATGCATAAGTTATATATCTATTATATAAAAAGAATTATAACACTGAACTGTATACTTCAATCTAACAAACGCACAGCGTTTGTGACTCAAAACATCATCATAATAATTATTAATAAAACAAATACTGGTATCTTTGGTAAATCTCTTCAGCTGGATCACTCTATAAGGGATGGAAGCTGGTTTCTGCCACAGAATAAAAAAAGAAAAAAGAAATTGCGACTTTTTTATAAACTCGGAATTGCGAGAAAAAGTCAAAATTGTGCGATATAAACTAGGAATTGTGATAAAAAAAACAGTATTGCGAGAAAAAGTCAGAATTGCAAATATATACTCGGAATTGCGAGAAAAAGTCGGAATTACAAGATTTCAGATTTGCGGGATAAAAAGTCTGAATTGTGGATATAAATTCAGAATTGCGAGAAAAAGTCAGAATTACGAGATATAAACTCTTAATTGCGAAATAAAAAGTCGCAGTCACCTGGCGTAAACAAGCTCCCATAGTAAGGCACGGGTTCATATAAATGCACCTCAGTCTGTAAAGGTTTGATGTCATTAAAAACATCTGCAAGCTTTAAATTCCAGTTTTCGTCATTTTCAAGGTAAGTATCGATCTCTGATGCCATACGGGCGACATAATACTGATAAAATATGGCAAGAGATTAATCTTCATCTTCTCACATACCTTAGCATCCTCTCTCACCTCACATGCCTGTCTCTCTTCCTCTGACCTGTCTCACGTTCTGTCGCTCTCTCTCTCTCTGAACTCTCTCTGATATGTGTGTTTGTACATTAAGGTACACATGAACATATAGCTGAATACATGCAGCGTGAAAGCCCCTTTTACATGTTATATTGCCACTTTCACATTCCCGCCGCCGAATCCCCGCGGCTCCCGGACTCCAGACGGTTTCTCCTGCTTTACATCCGGCGAGTGCCGGCGGATGGTTGGGATTCTCCAGTTGATGTCTTGAGATGTTTGTGATGTAGATGTCTAGTAGTAGGAGGGCATGTGTGTGGCGGGGTGTCGTGGGCCGGGGTAGATTCCCGATCCAGGAGCGTTCCAGTACGGACTCGGGCCGCTGAAGAACCCGGACGATGTGACGTTCATGGCCTGAGGATGCGGAGACATGAAGTTCATCTTCTGCGGGTGCGGGTGTGTGTGGTACGAGCTCATGTAGGGCAGATCCGCCGGGTACTTGTACATGGACGAGTCGGGCGGGTGCGGCTGAAGGGCCTGAGCGATCCCGTGGAAGTCGAACTTGTACGCGTAGCGTTTGCCGTGCACTTTGGTCATGATGTTCTTGTCGTAGTAGTAGCGCAGGGCTCGGCTCAGCTTGTCGTAGTTCATGTTGGGTTTGCTCTTCCGCTCACCCCAGCGCCGGGCCACCTCGTCGGGGTCGGTCATCTTGAACTCGCCGTTGGTTCCTTCCCACGTGATGCAGGACGAGTTGGCGCTGTCGGACAGAAGCTCCAGGAGAAACTGCCACAGCTGGATCTGACCGGAGCCTGAAGACACATTAGGGTCATTACTTAAACTAATTAGCAAATTATACAATTACTAGAAGTTTATACGACTTATCCGTCTACATATAGTACACATGTAATGCGATATATAGTGCATAGCAAATCTCTACTGTTATTTTATAAAAATGGTTCAGCTCTATACATCATTGCAAAATATAACTCCTCATATTGTAAGTATATATTGTACAGCGCTTTATGTTGTTGCAAAATTTAACTATATATCTTGCAGCTCTATATGTTGTAGCAAAACGATCTATATATCGTACAGCTCTATATATTGTTGCAAAATGTATCTATATATTGAACAGATCTATATATTGTTGCAAAACGTATCTATATATTGAACAGATCTATATATTGTTGCAAAACGTATCTATATATCATAGAGCTCTATATGTTGTAGCAAAACGTTTTATATATATATATATATCGATCGCAAAACATAACGATATATCGTACAGCTCTCTCTCTATATATATATACATTTATCTCGCAACATAACTATATTTTGTACAACTCTATATATGCTGTATATCGTACCAAATGTAACTATATCATGAAGCTCTTTTTATCGTCCGAAAATGTAACTATACATTGTAGAGCACTTGGTATTTTAGCATTTTATTTTATTTTTATTGCCGTCCGCCGCAGAAGGGGAGGAGCAGGGAACGGGGGGCTCGCGGCCATGGACGCTCGAGGCGGGGCGCTGGGGTGAGTTGCTGGTGGGACGCCCGAGCTCGCCGCCAACCGCCTGGATAATGGAGGGGCGGCTGCCTTCCGGGAGGGAGAGGAGGAGTCACCGCCGCTTGCCGTGGGCCGGAGCCTGCTGCCATCCCCCAGTGAAGGACAGGAGCAGGGAGCGGGAGACTCCTGCCGTCTGCCCGAGGCACCCGAGGAGCCGTCGAGGCGTCCACCGGGGCCATCCAGCTTCCCCGCCAGTTACCACGGAGGAGATCGCCCAGCTGGTGAGGGACAATATGGCAGTGCGTTGTGGGAGCCAGACCAAATTTTTTTTTGTCTCTCTCCCCTCTCTCGTGTCCGTCGCTCCTCATGCTTCCGTCTCCGGAGTAGGCACAGGCTCGTGTGTACCCTGTGAGGGGTGATGGGGGTATGTGATGAGCAGGACGGCCAAGGGACATGAGAGAAAGTCGCGAGGCCGGTGGTGCGATTGCTAATGAGCAGCACCTGTGACGCACACCGGTCTCGCATCTCTCACGGAGAAGCCGAGCCATAAAGGGGGAGCGACGGAGTGGATGATCGAGAGAGGAACAGGCCTGCTTTTGTTTGTTTTTTATATTTTATTTTGGTAAGCCAGCGGTCGTATGCGAGGGGCTGCTGGCCGGTAGTTATGTTTTATTTGGGTAGGTGCTGCTGGCAGGTATTTTGTTTGTTTATTTCATTTAAATAAAAGTTTTATGTTGATTGATATCCGGTTCCTGCCTCGTTCTTCCCTGAACCTTGTTACAACATGTATCTTACTATATCTTACCTATCACTGCAAAACATAACTACTGTATTTATTGTACAGCTCTATATATAATCGCAAAACAAAACTGTATATTGTACAACTCTATATATTGTCCCAAACGTAACTATATTGTACAGCTCTATAGATCGTTGCAAAAAGTTGTATATAAATTCAACAGCACTTTATACTGTCGCAAAATGTAACTATTTATTGTACAGCTCTTTATATCATAACAAATGTAACTATATCGTACAGCTCTATATATCGTCCTAAACGTCACTATATCGCACAGCTCACATATAGCAATATATTCCTATAAATATAATTATATTATTGTCCAACTCTAATCGATTAATGCAGCTATAAGCCATTAAGATATTCAAAACATATAAATATTAACATCAAGATGCTTTGAAATAATGTGTATTGTGAAAAGTGCTATATAAATAAATCTGACTTGACTTGTCAGGACTGAATCTAGAAAAGCTTTGACTCTCTCACCTGGATTCGCCAGCCTGCTGCTCGTCGGCCCTAAAATCTGATACGGATCTACAGAGAAGACGACAAACATCAGACACAAATGTACCAGTTCACTTGATTTATGCTTTATTTGATTTCCTTTATTTAAGCTTTCTGCATTCGCTTCTGTCATGTATGTCATGACTATTCATTGCATCTAGTGTCATAAATAATATCATAAATGTGGTATGCTATCTATAAAAAATAAAAATTTTCCATAAACTGTGAAAATTAAAGCAACAATCAATCACTCTCATCACAAAAATCACCAGAAGAAGAGTGAAATATTTCACCTTATATAAATATAAATATGTATTTTGCAGAAGCATCACAAAGAATGAAGGGTCAGTGTCTCCTCTCAACACTGTTGGATATTTATAAAGCATTTTTAAAATCAGGCAATATCACAGTCAGTCCTTCTATATTTCACCTGCACTAAATTGGCTTATAGATATTATATATTCTATGTTAATTTTCCCAAGTCATTGCTGTTTTTAGGAATAGCAGGAAAACAAAACTGCTCCATTTAAAAATTTTATTTTTCCAAACAATTTGTTTTCTTTTGAATAATTATTTGAGGTGTTGTTGATGAATGCGATGATGTTGTTCTGTTTGCTGAACTAATATGAAACGATATGAGTGCTCGTGTCAGGATTACCCATAATCCTCTCACCTAACTGAGCTCTCTGCTCTTCGGCCTTGCTCAGGATGGCAGCAGAACCCTGGGGAACTGATGTAAAGACACATTCAGGTTAAACAGTCTCTTAAATTGGCATAAAGTGAGCAGCATGTGAACGTCTGTCCAACCTTTAGCTGCAGACACAGGCGGAGTCCATCCAGAGCGCCTAACCACGTCATAACTGACCTCTGAGAGAGAAACACACATGTCACGTCCTGTTCACTGAGACAGAGAGTGAGTGAGTGTGTGTGTGTGTGTGTGTGTCTGTGTGTGTGTGTCTGTGTGTGTGTGTGTGTGTGTGTGTGTACCTATCTAACAGGGGACCATTGTGCTGTTACAGACTCACCAACAGGGGACCGCCGAGCAAAGAGGGAACATTACTACAGGGACACCTACAGGTGTGTGTGTGTGTGTGTCAACAGTTTACAATCGAAAATCAACTCATAATTTTGAACTTTGACCTTAATATAGACAGCTTTTAAGTGAATTAGTGTCTGGGTTTGTATGGATGGCATTTTATTTAGTTATATGGGAAACAACAGTGAACTTTGAAGTGCAAGAAAAATGACTTGAGTCTGCTGAAACTACTCATTTGCATTCAAAGTTTACCATGCGTGGAAATTGGCATGGAATAGTGAATAAATAAAATGAATTTGGTCCTCTGTAAGATGGTAAAGTGCGACACCTGTTTGGTCCTCTGTAAGATGGTAAAGTGCAACACCTGTTTGGTCCTCTGTAAGATGGTAAAGTGCGACACCTGTTTGGTCCTCTGTAAGATGGTAAAGTGCAACACCTGTTTGGTCCTCTGTAAGATGGTAAAGTGCAACACCTGTTTGGTCCTCTGTAAGATGGTAAAGTGCGACACCTGTTTGGTCCTCTGTAAGATGGTAAAGTGCGACGCCTGTTTGGTCCTCTGTAAGATGGTAAAGTGCAACACCTGTTTGGTCCTCTGTAAGATGGTAAAGTGCAACACCTGTTTGGTCCTCTGTAAGATGGTAAAGTGCAACACCTGTTTGGTCCTCTGTAAGATGGTAAAGTGCGACGCCTGTTTGGTCCTCTGTAAGATGGTAAAGTGCAACACCTGTTTGGTCCTCTGTAAGATGGTAAAGTGCGACACCTGTTTGGTCCTCTGTAAGATGGTAAAGTGCAACACCTGTTTGGTCCTCTGTAAGATGGTAAAGTGCGACAGCTGTTTGGTCCTCTGTAAGATGGTAAAGTGCAACACCTGTTTGGTCCTCTGTAAGATGGTAAAGTGCACACCTGTTTGGTCCTCTGTAAGATGGTAAAGTGCAACACCTGTTTGGTCCTCTGTAAGATGGTAAAGTGCGACACCTGTTTGGTCCTCTGTAAGATGGTAAAGTGCAACACCTGTTTGGTCCTCTGTAAGATGGTAAAGTGCGACACCTGTTTGGTCCTCTGTAAGATGGTAAAGTGCAACACCTGTTTGGTCCTCTGTAAGATGGTAAAGTGCGACACCTGTTTGGTCCTCTGTAAGATGGTAAAGTGCGACACCTGTTTGGTCCTCTGTAAGATGGTAAAGTGCGACACCTGTTTGGTCCTCTGTAAGATGGTAAAGTGCAACACCTGTTTGGTCCTCTGTAAGATGGTAAAGTGCGACACCTGTTTGGTCCTCTGTAAGATGGTAAAGTGCGACGCCTGTTTGGTCCTCTGTAAGATGGTAAAGTGCGACACCTGTTTGGTCCTCTGTAAGATGGTAAAGTGCAACACCTGTTTGGTCCTCTGTAAGATGGTAAAGTGCGACACCTGTTTGGTCCTCTGTAAGATGGTAAAGTGCAACACCTGTTTGGTCCTCTGTAAGATGGTAAAGTGCAACACCTGTTTGGTCCTCTGTAAGATGGTAAAGTGCGACGCCTGTTTGGTCCTCTGTAAGATGGTAAAGTGCGACACCTGTTTGGTCCTCTGTAAGATGGTAAAGTGCGACACCTGTTTGGTCCTCTGTAAGATGGTAAAGTGCGACACCTGTTTGGTCCTCTGTAAGATGGTAAAGTGCAACACCTGTTTGGTCCTCTGTAAGATGGTAAAGTGCAACACCTGTTTGGTCCTCTGTAAGATGGTAAAGTGCGACACCTGTTTGGTCCTCTGTAAGATGGTAAAGTGCGACACCTGTTTGGTCCTCTGTAAGATGGTAAAGTGCAACACCTGTTTGGTCCTCTGTAAGATGGTAAAGTGCGACACCTGTTTGGTCCTCTGTAAGATGGTAAAGTGCGACACCTGTTTGGTCCTCTGTAAGATGGTAAAGTGCAACACCTGTTTGGTCCTCTGTAAGATGGTAAAGTGCGACACCTGTTTGGTCCTCTGTAAGATGGTAAAGTGCGACACCTGTTTGGTCCTCTGTAAGATGGTAAAGTGCAACACCTGTTTGGTCCTCTGTAAGATGGTAAAGTGCAACACCTGTTTGGTCCTCTGTAAGATGGTAAAGTGCAACACCTGTTTGGTCCTCTGTAAGATGGTAAAGTGCGACACCTGTTTGGTCCTCTGTAAGATGGTAAAGTGCAACACCTGTTTGGTCCTCTGTAAGATGGTAAAGTGCGACACCTGTTTGGTCCTCTGTAAGATGGTAAAGTGCGACACCTGTTTGGTCCTCTGTAAGATGGTAAAGTGCAACACCTGTTTGGTCCTCTGTAAGATGGTAAAGTGCAACACCTGTTTGGTCCTCTGTAAGATGGTAAAGTGCAACACCTGTTTGGTCCTCTGTAAGATGGTAAAGTGCGACACCTGTTTGGTCCTCTGTAAGATGGTAAAGTGCGACACCTGTTTGGTCCTCTGTAAGATGGTAAAGTGCAACACCTGTTTGGTCCTCTGTAAGATGGTAAAGTGCGACACCTGTTTGGTCCTCTGTAAGATGGTAAAGTGCGACACCTGTTTGGTCCTCTGTAAGATGGTAAAGTGCAACACCTGTTTGGTCCTCTGTAAGATGGTAAAGTGCGACACCTGTTTGGTCCTCTGTAAGATGGTAAAGTGCAACACCTGTTTGGTCCTCTGTAAGATGGTAAAGTGCAACACCTGTTTGGTCCTCTGTAAGATGGTAAAGTGCAACACCTGTTTGGTCCTCTGTAAGATGGTAAAGTGCAACACCTGTTTGGTCCTCTGTAAGATGGTAAAGTGCAACACCTGTTTGGTCCTCTGTAAGATGGTAAAGTGCAACACCTGTTTGGTCCTCTGTAAGATGGTAAAGTGCGACACCTGTTTGGTCCTCTGTAAGATGGTAAAGTGCAACACCTGTTTGGTCCTCTGTAAGATGGTAAAGTGCGACACCTGTTTGGTCCTCTGTAAGATGGTAAAGTGCGACACCTGTTTGGTCCTCTGTAAGATGGTAAAGTGCAACACCTGTTTGGTCCTCTGTAAGATGGTAAAGTGCAACACCTGTTTGGTCCTCTGTAAGATGGTAAAGTGCGACACCTGTTTGGTCCTCTGTAAGATGGTAAAGTGCAACACCTGTTTGGTCCTCTGTAAGATGGTAAAGTGCAACACCTGTTTGGTCCTCTGTAAGATGGTAAAGTGCAACACCTGTTTGGTCCTCTGTAAGATGGTAAAGTGCAACACCTGTTTGGTCCTCTGTAAGATGGTAAAGTGCGACACCTGTTTGGTCCTCTGTAAGATGGTAAAGTGCAACACCTGTTTGGTCCTCTGTAAGATGGTAAAGTGCAACACCTGTTTGGTCCTCTGTAAGATGGTAAAGTGCAACACCTGTTTGGTCCTCTGTAAGATGGTAAAGTGCAACACCTGTTTGGTCCTCTGTAAGATGGTAAAGTGCGACACCTGTTTGGTCCTCTGTAAGATGGTAAAGTGCAACACCTGTTTGGTCCTCTGTAAGATGGTAAAGTGCAACACCTGTTTGGTCCTCTGTAAGATGGTAAAGTGCAACACCTGTTTGGTCCTCTGTAAGATGGTAAAGTGCGACACCTGTTTGGTCCTCTGTAAGATGGTAAAGTGCAACACCTGTTTGGTCCTCTGTAAGATGGTAAAGTGCGACACCTGTTTGGTCCTCTGTAAGATGGTAAAGTGCGACACCTGTTTGGTCCTCTGTAAGATGGTAAAGTGCAACACCTGTTTGGTCCTCTGTAAGATGGTAAAGTGCGACGCCTGTTTGGTCCTCTGTAAGATGGTAAAGTGCAACACCTGTTTGGTCCTCTGTAAGATGGTAAAGTGCAACACCTGTTTGGTCCTCTGTAAGATGGTAAAGTGCAACACCTGTTTGGTCCTCTGTAAGATGGTAAAGTGCGACGCCTGTTTGGTCCTCTGTAAGATGGTAAAGTGCAACACCTGTTTGGTCCTCTGTAAGATGGTAAAGTGCGACGCCTGTTTGGTCCTCTGTAAGATGGTAAAGTGCAACACCTGTTTGGTCCTCTGTAAGATGGTAAAGTGCAACACCTGTTTGGTCCTCTGTAAGATGGTAAAGTGCGACACCTGTTTGGTCCTCTGTAAGATGGTAAAGTGCAACACCTGTTTGGTCCTCTGTAAGATGGTAAAGTGCAACACCTGTTTGGTCCTCTGTAAGATGGTAAAGTGCGACACCTGTTTGGTCCTCTGTAAGATGGTAAAGTGCAACACCTGTTTGGTCCTCTGTAAGATGGTAAAGTGCAACACCTGTTTGGTCCTCTGTAAGATGGTAAAGTGCAACACCTGTTTGGTCCTCTGTAAGATGGTAAAGTGCAACACCTGTTTGGTCCTCTGTAAGATGGTAAAGTGCGACACCTGTTTGGTCCTCTGTAAGATGGTAAAGTGCGACGCCTGTTTGGTCCTCTGTAAGATGGTAAAGTGCGACGCCTGTGTGTATAAGTGTGTGTGTATAAGTGTGTGAGTGACCTGCTCTGCTGGCTCCTCTGCTGTTGTCTGCTGGGTAAACGGGGGTGTTTGGGAAGATGAAACTCGCTCCTCCTGAAAGAGACACACGAGCAGAAAACATCAGCGACACGACGCGTTTAACTGATCACATTCAGCATCATGCAGCACATGCACAACAACTGGGAAGCCACAGCGCTGCATGCACATCAGACAGTGTGTGTGTGTGTGTGACTGCTGTAAGCACAAGGGGCGGGGACAGAGGTGGAGTGGCGGGGGTCATATGCAGTAGGGGCGGAGTCAGAGTCAGTGGGGGCGGGACCGGGGCAGAGCTGCAGTGCTGCTTACCTGTATTACGAGCATGCATTAACCGCGGGGAGTTTTGCAAGGCTTTGTCAACATCATCTGAAGTCAAATGAGGAAGTGGAGCTGAGAAACAAAACATTCACATGAAAAATAAAAGAATAAAACAACTGAAGAAACATCCTGTGACATGATGCTGATAGAGAGACAGACGGATGAAGACAGACAGATGAAAACAGAGAACATCTTTCCCTCTTACCACATGCCTATCAAAGAAAAATGATCTCTACTTCACATTTCACCCCAAAATCCACTGCATAAATATATATATATATATATATATATATATATATTTAAACAATGAAGATGTTTGACTAGACATGTTAATTTGAATCAGCATTAAATACATGATGTAAAGAAATACTGAGAGCAGAAAGTGAAATGAGCTTCTGTTTGATCACAATAATGTCACAATGCAAAACATTTCACTAACACTTTCTATGAAGCCTGTGCATATAATGAATTATGGCTCCATTTATACTTATTTATAAGTATTCATATTTTATAAATATATTTATAAAGACTTATTACAACTTATACTGCATTAAAAGAACAGTTATAGCTATATTTATGTTATTTTTTATAATTACTTATGTCATGCATTTGCTTTTTCAATGTGTATTCTCATAATCCATAATACACTGATTTATAAGTAGTAATTAGTCAGATCCATTAATGCATTTATAAAGATGCAACCTGCATATCACAGTTGTGTTTCTGTCTTGTCTTTCTGTCACTAGTCACGTCTTCCTTAGTTCTGATTTCCCGCCGCTCATCTGTTTCCATGGTTACTATCATCCTCACCATCATCATCATCATCTGTTTCACCTGTGTTTTGTGTCTCCACCACCCTGCTCACCTCATCCCTTCAGCTTTGTTCAACAATAAACTCATTATTAACCATCATTCTTCCTCTCCTGTGTCTCCATACTGTAACAGATGCAAGAGCTCACCCTGATCACCCTGTCCGGTTTATTCTGAGATAACAACGCCTGGATGTATATTATGCCTTACATAAGTATAAATGAGGCTATAATTCATTATAAGCATGGTCTTCATAAGAAAGTGTTACCAACATTTCTTTAGGCTTTATTTAAAATATAGTTAATAAAAATTAAAATCAAAATTTGACTTATTTTAAATGATAATATATACATTTTCTGACTTTCGGGGGGAAGTATGACCTGGACAGGTCTGATGATTTTCACACAGGTATAATCTGATTTATTAATGCATGTTAATGAGTCATGTGAAAGTGAGGTCAGAGGTCAGCAGAGTGAATGAGGTCAGTAATGAAGAGCTTATGAAGCGTCATGATGAGCAGCTGATGCGCGCACACACACAGAGAGAGACGGGCGAGAGACACTCACTCTCTCTGAGGTAGTGCAGGTGAGACAGCAGGATCTCGGCGGTGTAACTGCTGGTCAGTCGCTGGACGTCGTCTTTGCTCATCTTGCAGAGCTGCTTCCCATCGACGCTGTGGAACAGAGACACGTCCACCTCCGGCAGTCCGAACTCCTTCACGGCCCACTCCAGCCACTGACACACGTGATCTGCTGACCACAGACCGGGATCTGACACACAGAACACAGGTCAATCACACACACACACAACTCTGATTCAGTTGATTTGATTCATTTCAACATTGAATTGAAATTGAATAGTTCAGTCCTCATATTTAAACGGGTCATGAACTGAGGATTAATTTTTTCCTTGATCTTTTGACAGTTTTTAATATCCTGTAAATTTAAAACCTCAAAACTCCCCAGTCATTCCAAACACAGCTTTTCTTAAAGCCAAGGCCAGAAAACGACAGATCTGAGAAGTGGAGACGTGACGTCACAGAGCAGCGAAAGACGGCCGTAACAGAAGAACATCTGCGCCTAGATCACGCGGCTTTGGCCCCGCCCACTGGAGCGTCAGTGAAGAGCGACATGAGAACGAGTACAGATCGACACAGGATCAATACCATTACTTTCCGAACGACCCTAACGCTGGGAAGGTTTGTTGTTTTCAACAGGTCAGCAGGTCTCAGCAGTGCATTATTAGTATTCAGTGGTAAATCAGTTGCAATTTCAGCGCAAAATATGGGTCTGCAAGCAACACCACAAACATGTAAGTAATCATGTTCATTTTAATGCCTGATCTGTGATCAGTTATTTCTGATATGTAATTTTCCAAGTTTAGAAAGATTATCTTTCTCTCAAAATCGTTCAATATTGTTTATCCATCAATAAATCAAGCCAGTGATTAAACAACCAACTTCACATCGTCTCTCTTAGCAGGATGAAAATAATCTTATTTAAACTGTGATCAAATTATAGACAGAAAGCGATCAAAGAACGCTCCCTTTCCAATCGCCCAAGCTGTCAATCACAGCGCGAGTTTATCTGGACACTCGTTATGAAATCGAGGACGCTGTTACATTGCAAAACGAACCTCTTCCTGTATGAACATCGTGTTTGCATTATTTGGTGAAAGCAATCGTGAGAGTGCAGAAACTGCGCTGCACTGATGAGATCACTTCCATCAGTGCTCAATCACAGCAGCCGGTCATGTGATGGGAATAGATCCATATCCACAGCCAATCACAGCAGTGGGCGTTTACACTGAAGTCTCACAGCCAATCACAGCAGTGGGCGTTTACACTGAAGTCTCACACAGACACGCCCCTTTAAACAGAGCATTCAGATCAGAGGCTAAAATCAGGCTAGGAAAATGCCTTTTATGTAAAAATCATACTAACATTATAAAATAATAAAATAATCCAGTTCACGACCCCTTTAAAATATTTAAGAGAGAGTGTGACAGAGAGTGTGTGTGTTTGAGAGAGAGAGTGTATGCGTGTGTGAGTGTTTTAAAAATATAAATTAATGTTTTGTAGCAATGTCTGTTGCGTCATTAAATTGCTCTTCCTGACATTTGAAATCTATAATTCCAGATCAGTTGAACAGAACTTTAGTCATGACTCCACTGCTAATGGAGATCTACAGCACTGACTGAGGTTCAGCCGAGTGTGTGTTTGAGCGACCTCTCTCTGCGCTCGCCGAGTGTGTGTTTGAGCGACCTCTCTCTGCGCTCGTCGAGTGTGTGTTTGAGCGACCTCTCTCTGCGCTCGTCGAGTGTGTGTTTGAGCGATCTCTCTCTGCGCTCGTCGAGTGTGTGTTTGAGCGATCTCTCTCTGCGCTCGTCGAGTGTGTGTTTGAGCGATCTCTCTCTGCGCTCGTCGAGTGTGTGTTTGAGCGATCTCTCTCTGCGCTCGTCGAGTGTGTGTTTGAGCGATCTCTCTCTGCGCTCGTCGAGTGTGTGTTTGAGCGATCTCTCTCTGCGCTCGTCGAGTGTGTGTTTGAGCGATCTCTCTCTGCGCTCGTCGAGTGTGTGTTTGAGCGACCTCTCTCTGCGCTCGTCGAGTGTGTGTTTGAGCGATCTCTCTCTGCGCTCGTCGAGTGTGTGTTTGAGCGACCTCTCTCTGCGCTCGTCGAGTGTGTGTTTGAGCGACCTCTCTCTGCGCTCGTCGAGTGTGTGTTTGAGCGATCTCTCTCTGCGCTCGTCGAGTGTGTGTTTGAGCGACCTCTCTCTGCGCTCGTCGAGTGTGTGTTTGAGCGATCTCTCTCTGCGCTCGTCGAGTGTGTGTTTGAGCGATCTCTCTCTGCGCTCGTCGAGTGTGTGTTTGAGCGACCTCTCTCTGCGCTCGTCGAGTGTGTGTTTGAGCGATCTCTCTCTGCGCTCGTCGAGTGTGTGTTTGAGCGACCTCTCTCTGCGCTCGTCGAGTGTGTGTTTGAGCGATCTCTCTCTGCGCTCGTCGAGTGTGTGTTTGAGCGACCTCTCTCTGCGCTCGTCGAGTGTGTGTTTGAGCGACCTCTCTCTGCGCTCGTCGAGTGTGTGTTTGAGCGATCTCTCTCTGCGCTCGTCGAGTGTGTGTTTGAGCGATCTCTCTCTGCGCTCGTCGAGTGTGTGTTTGAGCGATCTCTCTCTGCGCTCGTCGAGTGTGTGTTTGAGCGACCTCTCTCTGCGCTCGTCGAGTGTGTGTTTGAGCGATCTCTCTCTGCGCTCGTCGAGTGTGTGTTTGAGCGATCTCTCTCTGCGCTCGTCGAGTGTGTGTTTGAGCGACCTCTCTCTGCGCTCGTCGAGTGTGTGTTTGAGCGACCTCTCTCTGCGCTCGTCGAGTGTGTGTTTGAGCGACCTCTCTCTGCGCTCGTCGAGTGTGTGTTTGAGCGATCTCTCTCTGCGCTCGTCGAGTGTGTGTTTGAGCGATCTCTCTCTGCGCTCGTCGAGTGTGTGTTTGAGCGACCTCTCTCTGCACTCGTCGAGTGTGTGTTTGAGCGACCTCTCTCTGCGCTCGTCGAGTGTGTGTTTGAGCGATCTCTCTCTGCGCTCGTCGAGTGTGTGTTTGAGCGACCTCTCTCTGCGCTCGTCGAGTGTGTGTTTGAGCGATCTCTCTCTGCGCTCGTCGAGTGTGTGTTTGAGCGACCTCTCTCTGCGCTCGTCGAGTGTGTGTTTGAGCGATCTCTCTCTGCGCTCGTCGAGTGTGTGTTTGAGCGATCTCTCTCTGCGCTCGTCGAGTGTGTGTTTGAGCGACCTCTCTCTGCGCTCGTCGAGTGTGTGTTTGAGCGACCTCTCTCTGCGCTCGTCGAGTGTGTGTTTGAGCGATCTCTCTCTGCGCTCGTCGAGTGTGTGTTTGAGCGACCTCTCTCTGCGCTCGTCGAGTGTGTGTTTGAGCGATCTCTCTCTGCGCTCGTCGAGTGTGTGTTTGAGCGACCTCTCTCTGCGCTCGTCGAGTGTGTGTTTGAGCGACCTCTCTCTGCGCTCGTCGAGTGTGTGTTTGAGCGATCTCTCTCTGCGCTCGTCGAGTGTGTGTTTGAGCGACCTCTCTCTGCGCTCGTCGAGTGTGTGTTTGAGCGACCTCTCTCTGCGCTCGTCGAGTGTGTGTTTGAGCGACCTCTCTCTGCGCTCGTCGAGTGTGTGTTTGAGCGACCTCTCTCTGCGCTCGTCGAGTGTGTGTTTGAGCGATCTCTCTCTGCGCTCGTCGAGTGTGTGTTTGAGCGACCTCTCTCTGCGCTCGTCGAGTGTGTGTTTGAGCGACCTCTCTCTGCGCTCGTCGAGTGTGTGTTTGAGCGATCTCTCTCTGCGCTCGTCGAGTGTGTGTTTGAGCGACCTCTCTCTGCGCTCGTCGAGTGTGTGTTTGAGCGACCTCTCAGTCTATTGTCCTGATTCATGACCGAAAAAAACAGGATGTTGCAGAGCTTCTGTTCCTCTCCTCACAACTGAGCAGGAAGTGCAGAGAAACCATGAAAACTGTGTGTGTGTGTGTGTGAGTGTGTTACCTGCAGGTACGATCACTCTGCGTTCATTAGTGATCATGTTGGGCGGTGGAATGTGTTTTTCCTCCATGTAGCTGCTGTACATCACTGGAACATTCACGGATGGAGAGATTTTACCTTTCACCACAGGACAGTCATCAGGAGGACTTCTGCACACACACACACACACACACACACACACACACACACACACACACACACAGGTCAGATGTGCATTTCCTGAAGGAAATATCAGTGTTCGCATGAAGAACTTGGGATGCAAATATTGTGCTTTCAGACACTGAGCGCTGAACCATCAACACGTGAGATCATCAAACTAAAACTAAAATGAGCAAAAATACACTTACAGTACATCGAGGAAGGACACAATAAAATGATCAAAAGTGACAAAAGATATGAAAAAAGAAAATTAAGTTACAAAAGATTGTATTTCAGATAAATGCTGTTCTTTTGAACTTTCTATTCATCAAAGAATCCTGAAATAAAAATGTAAAAAACGTGTGTTGATCATCAGATCCTCATATTAGAGTGATTTGTGAAGGGTCATGTGACTCTGAAGACTGGAGTAATGATGATAAATTCAGCTTTGATCACAGGAATAAATGACACTTTACTGTATATTCACTCAGAGAACAGCAGATTTACACTGGAGTAATATTACACTGATTACTGTATTAATATCAGATAACTGCAGCAGAAGAGACTCTTTCTACAGCATGTTCCCGACCCAGAACACAGAGGAAGGGAATGTTTGAGACACACAGATCAGCTGACCACGTCCAGAGCGTTTCTTCTCCTCATGACTCCGGCACGAGGACACAGATGTGAGGATTCAGCTGGAACGCCATCAAACTCCGGACCAGCAGCCGCCGCTCGTGTGTGTGCCAACTCCTGAACTCACACACTCCACAACACACACACACACACACAATCAAGCGTCCAGAAACAGCATCCGAGGTCGGAAGGTCGGACTGGACTTGATCCGTTGAGAAGCGAGTGTACCCAAACCACAGCTGTTCCGACCAATCAGACGATCAACAGTACCGTAATCATCACGTCCCCAAAGAGCGCTTGGGTTCAGAGCGTTCACAACAAAGATGGCCGCCGCTGGAGAACTGAGATTCAGCCGTCGCGTCTGTTATAGACGATGTAGATGTGTGTTCATTAAAAGAGGAACAGAGAGCCGCCATCGAGGCGTTAGTCGATCAGTGGAGAGCAGAGGCCTTTTCCCCATAATCACAGCCAGTGGAGCGGATCAGACCCGCATGCGGACCGGAGTCTGAGTACGGCGACGAGTCTGACGGGGTTGAACATCGCGAGGGAGAGTCGTTACGGACAGAGTTCCCATGTTTGAGTGAACTGTCCCTTTAAAGGTGCTATACGTAACTTTTCTTCTGAAATAAATGATTTTTCATGGCCTGTGTGTGAAGGGGTCAACGGTTTTTCCGGGTTTCTTGCGTATTTTAGCTCTTTTCCCGTTTTAGTATTTTCCCGTAAAATATCCTGTATTTTTACGCTCTGATTGTGTGAGACGTACAAGCTCGGACGGATTCGGCTCGAAGTCGTTCACCCTCGGATGCGGTGCCGTGTGCCGTCACAAAAAAGCTGCACACACACACACACACAGCCAAGCGAAACGAGGTCTTGCGCACCCAACTTGTCATTTTTGCCGACGCGTCGTGTATAAAGGCCTTACTCCGTGTCAGCGCGCGCTCTCATTGGTAAAGACCTCTCCCCGTCATCTCCAGTACTCAGCCTCAATCGCATCACTAACTCCGCCTCCGCTTCCCTCGTAAGCTGATATTAGGATTTAAACATTGATATATATATATATTAAAATGACACACTGTCTCTCTCACACATATGTAGGCTAGTTATAAACTCTTTAGAGTTTTAATGATTAGTGCTTTATTTTTAAAGTTTGTGGCTAAGAATTGTCTTGTCTGAATTGGCTAAGAAAAAATCCTTTATTTGGTGATGGATTCCGGGAAATCTGCCTTATTTTCAGTGTTCAGTGTTGATAGCTGAGGAAGAGCGTAATCACACATTACAACCATCCAAAGATACATTCCTGACATTTATAATGCACAGTAGCTTAAAATTCGGTCCGATTTCCCCATGGCTGTGGTTGCTATATGTAACCCCTCCACCCGGATCCTACTCGCCCCGCCTCACACTCGCTCAATGTCTACATTTGAAATAATGACCTCAAGTGCGCAAGACATGATACGTGAACTAATCAGGAGAGCCCCTTGACATCGCTTCTGTGCACGGCTCCTTCTCAGCCAGCAGGGGCGCCATTGCCAATCAGTGAATTAAAATGATAAAAAAAGGAAAAACTTCACGGCACAGAGGATTTTTTTTAACTGCTCGTGCCGCCCCCCATGTGGCATGAAGAAATGTCTGCCTGGTTCCTAAAACCGCCACTGGTTGCAATCTCAAACCTCACCGATAGAGGCCACTAAAGAAAACATACAGCACCTTTGAGCAAAAAAGTAAAACAATTGCTGCGTCCCAATTCGCATACTATCCGTCCTAAATAGTATTCGAAAATAGAATTAGTACGTCCCAAATCGTAGTATGTTGAAATGAGTGTTTCAAAGATACCCGGATGGTCTACTTTTTCCGGTCAGAATCCGAAGTGTAGATCGATGCACACTCTAACGGCTGATATTGCCCACAAACCATTGAGCGTTAGACAAGGATTCGGTTAGAACTACAAACACGAGTAAAAAGTGTTAAAAAAACTACAGACACGTAGTCGATACGGAGATCGCGCGAGTCCCGCGGTTGTGCAGAGGTTTAGATAAAGAGCTTTGAGTGATTCATTATCAGTATCTAACCTGACGAAAATGAATTATTCAATGTTCTCCACATTATATTGCATTTGCAGCAGCATTGTGAACTTTTGTAAAGACACGTTTAGCCATTACATTTTAAATGCATCATTATATTCAATTTGGAAACATGAGGAGAGCATGAAAGACCCACAACTGGCAGATGAACGTGCTCTCCGAAACGGTAGGAAATAAAATTAGATAGAATGGAGGATTTTAACTGTGACGAGATGATTGACAGGGCAGTTTACGGTGACAGGATGATTGACAGGGCAGTTTACAGCACGCGACAGAGCCGTCCGTTAAAGATGACGTGATAGTACGTCCCAAAGCTTGCCTACTCTTTTGCTACACACTCAAAAGTATGTACTTTTTCCTTACAAAAAGACTACATACTTTTAGGGTGTAGTATAAGTAAGCGAATTGGGACGCAGCAAAAGATCAAACTATTCTTGGGGAAGTCAGCCAGTACAGGTCAGAATGACAGGAACACAACACTAGGGTTAGGAACGTTCAAACACGCTCGTTTTCATCATCGGTGGAGAAAACTGAAGGTGAGGAACACATTACGATGATCAATGACCACTGGATCATCAATCTGACTGTGGAGAGCCACACACACACGTCCAGAGCGACTGAGGTCATGTGATGAGGGTCACGTGACTCACCGGGATCCGTCGGCCTGCGCTCCACACTCCATCTTGACGGTGATGCGAGCGAGGGGCGGAGCCAGCCAGTCCTGCTGATGCATTCTGGGGCTGAGTTTGCTCTGGCTGTATTCAGCGGAGGCCGTCATGTCCGCTTTAGGGAGAGACGCTCCGTACGAACACTGGAATAAAGCTGGATCCTCACTCACCACCGACAGCGCCTCCTACAGGACACACACACACACACACACTGAGTCAGTGTCTCGCCGCTTGAAGCTCGTTTCTGTCATGGAATAAACAATAAAAACTGTCCTTTCTTTTTTCCTTGCGAGTATAAATCACACAATTTTGAGAAAAAAGTCAGAAATTTTATTTTGTTGTGCTGTACATCATAGTGTAACACTGGCTGTTGATTGGATGTTGAGATGTGGGCGTGGCTCTAAAGCTTGTAAGGGCGGAGCTTAAACGCATCAGAGAGAAGTGTGTCGTTTCAAGACCCAGTTATGATATTCTGATAAACACTATGAGGTCTATAATATATGCATGAATCAATCATTTAAAATAACGTTTATAACATGCATTAAGAAAACAGACATTTTCCTCTCATGCTGATTTCAAAATAATGAGCAACAAAATCAGACTTGGTTGCATTTGATCACTATAAAGATGATGGGAGATTAAGATTTGATAACTTCTGTCCTACAGTAACTTACCAAAACCATCACACACACACACACACACACACACACACACAATCAAATTGTGCAAATACATATACAGTACAGTTTGCTGCAGATTCTGATATTTACATGTACGAATATGTAAATCAATGAGACATTTATAACAAGTAAAGCAGATATTGACATAAAATGCACATAAATCTCAATATCTGCCAATAAAAAATCTTAGTGAGATTATATTTACATGCTTAGTTTTACGATCTGTAGTTTTAATGCAATGAAATAAAATAATTACTCAATGATAAATAATAAACCTTCCTCAAAAGCCTGATGATCATATTTGATACTCATGATTTTCATAATAGGCTAATCGATGATGATAATCAAGCAAACCTGCTTCAGTCCAGCTGAAATATTACTGACAATTTCAAAGTGATTCTTACGTTAACTTGATAATATCAGCGCAGATTTGACAGCAGAAAGACTCGAGCTGAAGGAGGACGTTTGTACTTTTAAGACTTTTACTGGATAAAAGAGTGTAAACTATCAATCAGACACAGAAGGACTGGAGGAGATCGAGAGGTTTATCAGACCATGTGGATCATTCACAGGCTTTATAAATGATCTTTATAGGGGTAAAGACGAGACGAATGTAAAGAGTTCCACAGAGAAACACCCAGAGTTACAGCGGCCGCTCCTCTGGGGTCAGCGGGAGGAAGAGGAAGTGATGTAGGAAACAGATGAACCTGCAGCCGCTGAAGCAACCTTCACACCTCCTCATCTTCATCATTAGTTATTAACTCAGGGGCCGCTTACACGACGCCGCTCGAACAGAAAACTGTGCTGGTGCTACATAGGAAAAGGATCTCCCGTCTGCAGTCGATTTTGATGTTCTAGGTAGGGTTACTGTAGCTAACTGGCCGCAGTTTCGAGATCGCAATAGACATGAAGGACTATAATGCGTTAAGAGCTCGCTCAAGTACTGGAGATAAACCATTCAGTGCTTTATAAGTGATCAGCAATATTTTAACATGTATACGATGTTTAATAGGCAGCCAATGGAGTGTTGACAGAACCGGGCTAATATGGTCATACTTGCTGGTTCTGGTAAGAACTGGAGCGGCTGTGTTTTGGACTAGCTGGAGTTTGTTTATTAAGCGTGCAGGACAACCACCCAGTAGAGCATTACACTCATCTAGCCTTGATGACATGAACTGTCAATGAGAGCATATGGCGTAATTTAGAGATATTTTTAAAATGGAAAAAATGCGATTCTACAGATACTAGACACCAGTGGCGGCTGGTGAAAATTATTGTAGGGGGGGCTGAATAAGAGGGGGGTCTGGGGGTTCCCCCCCAGAAGATTTTGAAATTAGTAGATGTGATTTCCTCCATTCTGGTGCATTTTAGGCCTTAGGCCATGCCCTTACCTATACCAATAAAATAACTTAAACCAGTCAATACCAATGGTCAAATAATACAATAATAATAATAACAGTTTGACAGTTAATGATAATGAACAAGTTGCATGTTTATTATGCTCTGTGTGCTGACAGAAAAAGTGCAAACGCATAATATTGATAAATTATAATATAATAATAATTATAATACCTATAGGTAATACAAAAAAATAATAGGTAATACAACAATCTAGTTTAATCAACCCCCAGCTGTAGACTACATATTTTTGACAAATTGACAATTGGATAATGGATAACAATGTGTTGATACTAGAGAAAGAGAGAGAGAAAAGGCTCTGAAAGAGAGGTTGGGACAACATTCTTGATTGTAACACCCAAGTATGAGAAGAAAGTTGATTTTAACTAGTATGCAACACTGTAATCTAGCTCAGAACTTAAAAACATCAAAAACAAAGCAAACACACAGGTATTAATATTCCTATAACTATTTTAATATCAAATGTGTGTGAAACAGTGTTTATGTGTGTGTGAGTGAGTGAGTGAGTGAGTGAGTGAGTGACAGAGCGACTAACTTTACATTATTTCCACTCGACGTCACTGGCGCTGCCGTTCTTCTCTCATCTGAGGTAAAAAAAAATCTCCCGTGGTGCGCGTGCACGGTGCACTCCCCTAATCTGATACTGTGGGCGATATTTTCAGCGCCCCCAAACCATAAAATTTGACGGCGCTGATTGGCGAAATATAAACTTTTTTGCATAGCAACCGGGGAACCATTGGCTTAAATTCCAGCACTGTGGGGCTGAGCGAACTGGCGCCCTGACAAGACAGCCTATTGGCTATACTACTACACCAACATGATAAAAGTAACGAAAGTGAATGCAAATATCATTCTGGTGAGTTCAAAACACTTTTCAAAGTAAAACCATTATTAGCATATAATTAACAAAGATTATTTTTCAAAATTATAAATTATAATATATATATTAAAAAAACAGACAGACAGGTCGGAGGGAGGGCGGCGCCCCAGCGCCCTCTATGGGCGAGCCGCCCCTGCTAGACACGTGACTTTCAAATGAGAGATTGGTATCAAAGAGCACACACACACACACACACACAGGTTCCTAACTGACGACAAAGACTTGACAAAGCAGTCATCGAGTGTTAGACAGTATTATGGGTTATTACGTTTTGTCCAATAATTAGAATCTCTGTTTTTTCAGAATTTAGTAGCAGGAAATTACTAGTCATCCAGTGTTTATATCAGCTCTGCATTACGTTAATTTTGTGAATTGGTAAGTTTCGTCAGGTTTAGAAGAAATATACAGCTGAGTATCATCAGCATAACAGTGAAAGCTAATGCCATGCTTCCTAATGATATCTCCAAATGTAGCATGTACAGAGTGAATACATTGTGATGGATAAGACATCTCTTCATTTACTGCTTCAAACTGATAACGGTCAGATAAATATCATTTAAACCATGCTAATGCGGTTCCACTAATTAGGCATCAAACCCCTTTGTCAACAGTGAATGTGTGAGCAAAATCTCATTTCCGAAACATTGATCCTCATTACCGAAATGGCATTTTCATTACCGCAACATGTATCTTTTTTACAAATTAAGTAATAAATAGATAATCATATTTTGTTTTAAAATGTATATACATATTATACAACACTACTTATTTAAGGTCTGCTACATAAAAAAATGCATATATTATCTTTTAGTAAAACAGTCAAATAAATTGCAAATCGTATGTTTCGGTAATGAGAGAAAACAAGGAAATTACAAAAAAATAATAAATATGAAAAAGTAATCTCTTCAGAGTTTTACATAGCTTTGAGCACGAGTAAAAAGAGTCTACTTTAACATTGGCCAAAAATACAAATTTTTAACCATATATTTAATGTAATGTCATGTTGCGGTAATGATAATTTTTTATGGACTGTATATAAAAATGTAAATAATTATATAGGAAATCATTTTTAAAATCTTCTAAAAAAGAATGGTTATAGTAAGTTCAGACCTTAATCTTATATGTGCAAAAATAAAATTGGCTTCAAGGGCATTTTTTAAATTCTGATGCTGGACTCCTCCTAAATCTGGATTTCGTAAGAATCACCCTAATGCCAAGATAGTTTTCTATTCTATTTAAAAGAATGTTGTGGTCAATAGAGTCGAATGCAGCACTAAGATCGAGTAACACTAATAGAGAGATACGACCACGATCGGATGATGAGAGCAGATCATGTGTGACTCTGATGAGAGCTGTCTCGGTACTATGATACGGTCTAAATCCTGATTGAAAATCCTCGCAGACATCATTTCTTTCCAGAAAGGAGCACAGTTGTGAGGATACTGCTTTTTCCAGTATCTTTGACAGAAAAGGTTCGAGATCGGCTGTAATTGACTAATTCTGTACGATCAAGTTGCAGTTTTTGAACAAGTGGTTTAATCATAGCCAGCTTAAAACTTTTTTGTACGAATAAATGATATTAAGAAGAGGACTAAATTGGACACTGAGCCGAACACTAAAGACACTAAAGTGAACTGAATCCACATCTCCTCCTTCATCAGATCCAGCTGGAAAACATCAGCATTAATAAAGCTGTCAGAGCACAAGTGTGTGGAAACTCCTGTTCACTCTGGCTCTCAGAGCGCCAGCGCGGCATCAAACACCACCGCCAGAAACTGGCCAATCACAGACAGCAGGACACGCCCATCACAGGCTCTCAGCCAATCAGAGGGATTGAAAGAGATAAAACACAATCAACATTCAGAGATATTATTGATCTGACTGCACAGACACTATCAGATGAAAACAGAGCCAGAACTGAGTTGATCTGAATAAGGACTGTTGTCTTTTAAAGATGCTTTACAGCATGATCTGCATTTGACTGCAACATCAACACTCTCGTTAATCTGAACTGAATTAAATAAACATCGAATTGAACTGAATCAACACTGAACTGAATGAACACCAAGCTGAATTGAATCAACATTGGAATGAATTGATGAACATTGAATTGAACACAATCAACATTGAACTGATCTGAATCAACACTGAACTGAACTGAATCAACACTGAATGAACTCAATCAAAACTAAACTGAATTGAATCA